TAATTATAAAAATTTTTAATGGTAAATTAGCATATGATGAAAGTTATATTTGGAAATCTAATCTGTATGATGTCACAAAGGAACTTCATCAATACCCATAAGTAGGAACTATAGTTTTTGATTTCCATTACTGTTATGGTGAATGGTGATTTTGAAATAAAACTTAGTATGACTTATACACCCATGGAAATTATACCCTGTATGAAGTAAACACACAAGCTTCATCAACAGGGGGGTGCAGATATAAACTTGGAATGGCCCAATATAAGCGTACATAAACCAAAACTTACATGTGTTGTATACCAAATCATTGGAATATAACTCTTTTCACCCATAATGCACCTAAAATGGACTTTGGTCATTGGTTTATTTTCGTAATCTACATGTCTCTTTGTCTTTATGCTAATTGTAGACCAACCACACTTGTATTTCTATGCAGTGTAATTTTTACAGTTGCATTCATAAGCTAAGTATGATTGCTACAGATAACTGGTATATTTTGTAAGACAGCATTGTCTTTCTTAGCTACATAACATTGGTATATCAGACATTGCACCTTGACTGCACAGCTTTAGTAAAGGTACAACGTCTACAGTTAACGAACACAGTCTTCCTCCTCAATTATTGAAAAGTTGGGAAGGAAGGGGTTTGAATTCACAACATCAACCATAGCAGGTAGATTCTCTAACAACTGAGATTTGGATTTCCGATGGGTATTATAAAGGTCATGTCAATGTCAAGTGTTATGCATTGAATTATTCATGAGCTAATGATAAATTGTACAATACACTTGTTGTATAATATGTAAATTAACATACAGTGCTGTGCAATGGCAATGTAACTGATTGCTGAATCTTTTAAATGTATCAGTTTTTATGGTATAAATCTGAAATACTCACTCAATAGTGTGGGTTTACAGATATAACAACACAGTTTTGGTCAAAGTTTTGTAAATTGGATGCTAGCATCCTTGATCTATTTATCTGATTCTGACTGAAACAGTTTGTTTATATTTGTAAACTTACTTCACACTTTTTTGTGAGTGTTTCAGTTGAATTGATTTTTAGCTTGAACTGTTAAG